CAAAATACTTCACTCTATCTTCTAAACGCTGAATTATATATATATATATTGATGAAAAAGTTGTAATATCTTTAATATTACAAGTTTCCTTGGAATGTTAGGATAACCAAATTTACGTGTGAATCCTTTTTTTTTTCTTTTTACGACAGAAATGTAATTCCATTGTACTTAACGGAATATCTGGAAATGAAATGCTCATGATAGTATATCGAAAAGATTATTACTACGTGGCTCGATAATTGGTGTTTGGGAAACATATGCCTCAACGTAGGAAATCGATAAACATTTGGCTTTGAATCAATTAAAAAATAAGAAAGCATTACCAATGAAGAGAAGTATAGGTATATATCTTAATATGACTTTGGTTCGAAAGCAACATTTCTACAAGCTCAGCGAACCATGATTTATTTTGGTATTTTTATCGAAAATCATATGTTAGATAGTTTGCTTAAAATCTACCCAGAAAGATACAATGTGTATTTATTTTCATCGACGCCTAAAGTAAGCAAAAAGTTCGTCCATTTGTATTCGTTATTGACTCAGTACTAAAAAAAAAAAATAAATACGCAGGCGTTTATAGATAAATAAAACATTTGTTTTGCCGTATAACTAAGACGATAGCACACATACAAGTTCACCCACCTCTCTCTCTCTCTCTCTCTCTCTCTCACACACACATGGACATATGGCTCTGTTGTAGAGATTTCAGTCTCTCACGTGTTATGACGTCATAGAACCGCATCATGAATTTACTACCTGCGTCTGCTACTCCTCGAACGCTTTCGTTGCAGCCCAATCTTCTATGCCAACAAAACAGAATACCATCTTTGATGTTGAATATATTTGTATAGATGTCAGGATAACCACTCCAATCCAAATGTTTGACAGTTTTTCTCTTTATTTTCACCCGAAATCAAAGCAAATATACGGAGTTTAGAGCGGCTCATGATCAAACATAATAGATATTCATTGTCTGCTATTTACATTAGTCGGACTATTGTCCTCGTCTTTGTCGCCATGTTTATCACAACGTTTCGGCCGTTGAAAGCCCCGGCCTTCTTCAGGCGTTTAGAATGTCGAACTGAAGAGAAAAGTGAGATCACCGCCGATCAAGTTGGGATCAAAGACAAAGAACATCATTAGAAAATTCGTAAAGTTAAGAATCAGCACATATGCTAGGCCACAAAAATCTCCTGAGCCGACCAAGAATAGAAATAAATACAATATGGGAACTAGAATTTGAGGAGTGCCAGAGAAAAGCGATAATAAAAGCAAAAGTTGCAATATGAGTACTGGTAAAAAATGATTACTGAAGACGTTAGGTTTATAATAACCATACATTCACAGATGTCCTCAAGGACACATGGCACAGTGGATAAAGGCGTTAGTTAGATCCAGTGACAGGACCCAAAGAGTGTGAGTTCAATACCCAGTTAAGGCAGTGGAGAACTTGGAGATAACTGACATCCATTAAACATGGCACGTTGAACTACCCCAGAAATAAAGGCTTCTGTTCGACATTCCAACCACCTGAAGAAGGCCGGAGCGTACATCGATAAACATGGTGACAAATAGTCCCAAATATATGACGAAATGGCCGTCCAGTGCTTTCTGCATTCTGTTGGGGTTTCTATCAGACTCGATGAATTAATTAAATATATATATATATATATATATAGAGAGAGAGAGAGAGAGAGAGAGAGAGACCGAAAGACAGTATGTGGGTGTGTAGATATATGAATAGGTATATAATATTATTTTTTTATCTATACAGAATACTTACGTAAATGTAATTGTCCAGACGAGTCCTTGTTATGTCCTCAACTCCGCAGTCCCATGGTAATGTGTCCAATGTTCAATTAATCCATCCATATATTGGAAAAGAGAAAAAGCCGTTCACGTTTTTGATCATTATGTGGATTTTTTATACTTTATTTTGTATATTTCGCTACACGCGATAAAGCGGTGCTCATTAGCCACAGCATAACACAAAAATTGTCTTCTGCAAACAAGAACACTGAAATACGTATCCTTATAACTAACAATACCCTGATAATGATATTAGGCTCTGTCGAAAGTACTCAGAAAATAAAAACAATATGAACGAGAACAGCATTTTCCTCTCATTTTTCAATAACCACACAAATAAGATTATCCGTGAATATGAAAGGATCCTATCGAGAATAAGTAGACAGAACATGTCTAAATTATTTAACGAAACCTCATAATGATAATATGCTGCCGAAATATAGACACACACACAGACACGAACTCACACACACACACATATGTGTGTGTGTGCGTGCGCGCGCGTGTGTGTGTGTACTACATGTTTCCTTGTAATAATCCAAATATATGTCTGCAAAACGACTATATGTACACATAACGGCAAAAACAAACACACTAGTAAGACCACACACACACATACACAAACGCACCTTACAAAATGTATGTATATGCTATGTAGGTTTCCTTATAATAATATAATATTTAATATATATGCACGGAGAATATATACACGCATACTGGTAAAATCAAACATACTAGATGAACCACACACACATAATCACGACCATACCCACACAAACACCGTACAAATTGTGTGTGTCTGCATAATTAAATAGGGCAAATATTCTTTACGAATTTTAATGCCCATTAAGGAATTGTATTCCTGATCAATCAAATTTCGTAAATAATTATATAGGCCACACTATAACTTATTTGACACGCAGACTCACTCTACACCTTTCTTACCATGGCTCAATTAGATCTCATTTAAATATTGATGGCGATCTACCGGGCATCATTCGGAACATACTTGTCATCAACACTAATATAATAGCATCATCTACATGCAAAGAAAAAAGTCTAAAAATAATGGAAGCCCTATTAATAAAGACAAAAAAACCAACACTTAATAATATTAACTTTGAACATGGACATAATATCTTGACCGTGTTTTGAAGCAATAAAATTGAAAACACTTTATAAAACATACATACAACAAACTATTTCTAATTTTAACAGTTAATATATAATTCTTGAAAATGGATAAATGTATAACCGAAAGCGCTCAGATAAAAAGAACATTCGGACAGTTTTTATATAATTTATCATCCGAAAAGAAAAAAAATATGAGATCGCATGAGAAATTGTATAAAAAGCTAAATCAAAGCACCTTGTCTGTCGTTTTCAATGAAATGTGAATTGACAGAATACATACATACATATACATACATAATATATATATATATATATATATATATATATATATATATATATATATATATATATATATATATATATATATATATATATATATATATATATATATATGTTTGTGTGTTTCCTTATAATAATGCAATATATATGTTTTTATTATTATAAGCATTTCACCCCTAATGCGTTAGGTGTTAAAGAGAGTGAAATAATAAAGAAAAATGTGTGTATGGGTGGAATTGAGGAAAGACAAAACGTATAACGGGGATCAAGTCAACAGAAGAAGGCAATTAACGTTGCATTTGAATTTTTGAAGATTGTAAGAGGAAAGGAGTTCTACTGTCGGGAAGTGCCAGAGAAGAATCTTTTGGACTAGAAGATGTTATATTTCGAGAGTAAGAGTGAGATCGAGATACCAGATTGTTATCCTCATCTTTATAGGCCTATTCACAACGTTCTCAGAGGACATCAATAGTAATTGGGTTAACAAAAACTACGGTGCCTTCCTTGATGAATTTCATCTTAACGTCATGAAACTAAATTAGAGAAATAGAAAGGATTATTATGAAAATAAATAAACATAATAATCAAAGTTAAAATCGAAAGTGCTTGGAAAAATAAAATATTTGGACAGTTTTTGTACATTTTATCTACGAAAAAGAAAAAATGTATAAGATCATATGAGAAATGATATAAAAAAACTTAATCAAAGCTCATTGTATGTCATATTTAATGAAACATGCATAAAAGAAGGATTGATGCTTAAATACACAATATATATATATATATATATATATATATATATATATATATGTATATGTTTCGTCACTGTGGCTAGACATCCGATTGTTTCAAGCCTTGATAGAAACTCGACCGATTTGATATCAGTCAGATATTCTACTCCTAATCTATGTATGGTATGTAAATATAAAAGTGGATACTGTATCATGATTTAAGTCAGTAAACATTTTTAAATCGTCAGAAAATTCTTTTGGGGGGGACATAATACTGGCTTAGTGATAGAATTCTGGAAATTAACCCATATATGAGGGAGAAGAGCTGGTTTGGTTTGGTTTGGTTTATTTTGTTTTAGGGCATGTCAAGTTCAATGGGTTATTTAATTTTTATTGCTGGCAATTTCTTTTTAATGTATAGCTGGTAATTTTTTTTTCAAAAATATATTCCTGGTAATAATTTATTTCCAAAAATATATTGCTGGTAATAATTTTTCTTCAGAAATTTATAGATTGGTAATAATTTTTTACAAAGTATTTCTGGTATTAAAACCTATTTTTACACTTTCATAGTGTTTTGACCCCAGTTTGGGGGTTAACTATTTATCCATAGCTAGGACACTACCAGGCGCTATCACACTGGGTCACGGTGGACCTGGGAATACCAGCAATTAAGAGGAAGTTGCACGCTCCTGAAAACCTCCTGATCAGAGGCCTTGCTGTTGGACGTAGTTTATTGTCTTACCCAGGAGGGCGCGGTTGTCCATTATCGTTTTAGCCAAGACGGAAGAAAAGCTGGATTCATACATTTACCAAAAGTGAATAAAACGAATATAACAGGAATTGGAACCAGTCACTTAGATTAACAAATACGCGCAATTATCCATTGCACCACCCGCACATCCAAGCTTACAGCACCTGGTATTCACAGCAATCTAGGTAGTGATCAGGCTCGACGTTGCTTAACTTCAAGGATCGTACGGGAAGTCGACTCTGTGATTAACAATTCCGAGCCATCATCTATTACACTATCCGCACATCCAATTTTACAGCACCTGGTTTTCACAAGTCGTTACCCATCTACGTACAGACCCGGCTCGATGTTCCTTAACTTCGGTGATCGTAAGGGAACTCGACTTTCTGATTAACAATTCCGAGCCATTATCCATTACACCACCTGCACATCTAATCTTACAGCACATGGTATTCCGAAGCTGTCACCTATCTAGGCACTGACAAGGCTCGACGTTGCTTAACTCCGGTGATTGTAGGAGAACTCGACTCTCCGATTAACAAATCCGAACTATTATCCACTACATCACCCGCACATCCAAGCCACAGCACCTGTTATTCACAAGCGTTCAGCCATCTATGTAGTGATCAGGTTCGACGTTGCTTAACTTCGGTGATCGTACGGGAAGTCGACTCTGTGATTAACAATTCCGAGCCATTATCTATTACACCACCCGCACATCCAAGCTTACACCACCTGGTATTCCCAAGCAGTACTGTTTCCATCTAGGTAATGACCAGGCTCGACGTTCCTTAACTTCGGTGATCGTACGGGAACTCGACCTCTGTGATGAACAATTCCACCATACAAATACACCACTCGGACATCCATGCTTAGAGCACTTGGTATACCTAAGTCGTTACCCATCTAGCTACTGACCAGGCACGTTGTTGCTTAATTCAGTGAAACTTCGCGAACTGGTGATTCAACATGGTATGGCTATATCTCTGAAATATATATATATATATATATATATATATATATATATATATATATATATATGAAATAGAGATGTTATTAATGATAACAATAAACAATACACACACACACACATATATGTATATATATGTGTGTGTATATATATATATATATATATATATATATATATATGTGTGTGTGTGTGTGTGTGTGTGTGTGTGCGTGCGTGGACGTCTGTTTATGTATCTACTTAAAGTATATTAATAAAAAAAACAAACATGGCTTACTGTTGCTTCATAATTTTTTAATATGAAATATCCGATATCTACCTCCACATTTTCGACCGTTGCTAATGGTAACTAATGGTTTCTTTGCTTGCAGAGTCGGCCTACCATGAAGTCTGGCAACTCAGATCGATAATCGGTCGACAACGTTTCGATTTGCCGATTTCAACATTACACAAGGAAGACGAGTAGCCGTTCTAACTATTCCCAGTTACAGGAAATATTTTGCGGACGGCGATGAGATGAAGCTTTACACTTCGATCAATAGAATAACGTACATGGAGGCGCTGAAACTGATCCGGTCGTTAGGCAATATATATTCGAAAATCTCGACTCTGACTGGTTTTAATGGCGTCTATTTTTTTTTTTTTTTTTTTTTGGAGAGAGAAAGAGAGAGCGGGGACTAGCTAAGATTTAAAATCCACCAGCCCTGTCTTTACTATTTGCCAGGTAGATTACACAAATTGCATTAATGTTTAAACATTTTTTTTAACTCATTACTCTGGTCAACAAAAACAAAATTTTCAAATAGTGTCGAGACACCAAACATCTTTTTTAGCTAATTTGAAGGAGCTGAATGTGAAAATGATATTATTTGTTCTTGATTAGCTAATGCTTTTGCTGTACAGAAATGTCTCATTTTTGCGAAAAAAAAAATCTTTTTTCATTTGTTTTCTGTATATATGGTATGACCGATGGCAATATTTCTCAAAATAAAATTGTAGAACTCTCTCAATTCGTATTTAAACCAACAAATTTTGGTCTACTTCTTAAGAAATACTATTTTTGCTGTAACAATCAGAGCCTAAGTCTTTAAAAATAAAACGATTGAATATGCCAATACGAACAAGTATTTTCATCAAATCATTTTCATCAAATCATTTAATAAACTAACAACAGAAATAAAACCTTGGTGAACATAAGAATTATGGAAAAAATGTCTCTTTTTTGATTGTCATATTCAATGCTATTTAAACAGTATCATGTGCAAAGGAATCGCTGTATTCAATTGGGATGACTTTAGTTGGAGTTTCTCTTCAACTGTGAATACATATGCTCTAAATGTGCTTGGTTTCCTTCCTAGTGAAGGGATACAAGTAATGGGATAAGTTTATGAATATCAAACAGAAGATATTAGGGCTTCATCTTTTGACGGCACCTTAATTATCAGGTTTACTAAAGTGTATTACTGATTATTTATTAGTTAATTTGAGGTTTGGCGATAAACTGAAAACATTCGGTACTTCTATTTTAAAATTATTGACTCATAAACAATTTTTTTCTCATAAAAATAGTTTATTTCAGGTGGCTGGCATAAATTGCTCGGGCTACCTTAAAATTGATGGGTTTTCCGACCTTTATTAACTACAATTTGCGATCAGTCAAGATCATAAATTCATGTTTTTTCCAAAAATGAGCAATTTCAGTACAGCAAAAATTACAGCTAACCATGAAATACTAAAGTCATTTTCGGAATCAGCACCATTGAATTAGGTAAAGAACGTGTTTTGTTTCTTGGTCAATTGTTTCTGGATATTTATCACAGAATCTACATTTTGGGACAACACAATTTTCAGTATGTCTTTGGTAAATTCTAGTTAGCAAACATTGGTTCTGTACAGCAAGAATAAAACCTTCGTTTCCAGTATTTAACCCTGCAGTATATAGCCAGTGATGGGTATTATTATTATTATTATTATTATTATTATTAAGAACTACATTTATGAATATATATATATATATATATATATATTCATACATGTTTCATTAAATAATATAGACAAGTGTTGTCTATTTTATGTAAATTTATTTCATAACGTCTGATAAGCCTAATAACATTATCATTAAACGAAGAAAGAAAATCACAATATTGATCCATATTTTTTAATCCAATCTAAGCTTTCGGCTTACATAAGCCATCATCAAAGATGTCAATTACTGTACAACATATTAAGCAATATACGGACAAGACAGTGATGATAGTCTGTGATTGTTTACATGGATGATTTCCTAGTAACGATAAATACGTGCATATAAGACGCTAGAACGAAAATCGCACCGCAGCTCATGACGTCACACATGACCACGCGAGAGTGAATTCGCGAAGTATTAAATATGGGAAGCCGTTGGTATAAATATATATGTGTTTTTTTTTTCAACTTGTGAGCATCAAGCAACCTACAGCCAGACACCTGAACATATGATTTGATTATAGTGGTGAAGGCTTTGTGCAGAACCAACCACACTTTTTGGAGTGTATAATAGAGAAATTCTCAGTATCAGAGCGTTCGTAAATATCAAAGAATACATTGAAGTCAACAGCCATCGATGTCTGGGTTTCATGCTTAAACGCAAAATTAAGGTCAATTTGTAATTCTTAAAACGCGACTTCACTGTTTGAGTAGACGATGCCTTTTATGAGTCTATTTCGTCTGTCAGGGGACATATATTTTATATATATATATATATATATATATATATATATATATATATATATATATATATATAGATAGATAGATATAAGAGAAGAGAGAATCAGCTTTTTATTATAATGTGGATGATTTAAAGATGTATTATACTTTGACCAGAACAAGAAAAAAAATTAGTTACTACTACACACAAAAGAGAATGGTTAACCATCGTGAAACAAGAGAATTAATTCTTTTTAATATGTAGAAATATCCACTTTTTGCCTGATGAAGATCCCGACACAAGAAACCTGTGTAGCAAAAATATGGAAAATAAAGTATAATTTTTTTTTAAAAATCCACATTATAACCAAAATCCCTTGCGGCTTCTCTCTTTAAAATATACACTTTTTTTTTCTCGTTGGAATAACTACAAGCGCTTCCTTATATATTTGTTATATAATTCTCTTCAACCTGTTCCGTAATTCATTTACTCATGCTCAAGTATGTTAGCCGTTGTTTTCGTTGTTGTTTCGTTGTTGTTCTTGCCTTCAATCTGTGCTATGATTTTCCAAGCCTTCTTTCCTCATTATTTGACCTTGAAACCTGAACTGGCTGTTTCTTTTTTGTTTCCATTTTCTCTAAGCTTCGTCATTGTTCATATGTCCGATCAAGGTATCCTCAGCATCCTTCTGTAGAACGACATTTTTGTTGATTCAAGTTTCTTCTGTATCTTTGAGAGGATTGTCCGGCACTCACTGACAAACAGGAGGACAGATATCACGTAACAATTTAGTACTCTTTACCTTGTTTCTACGAATGTTTTTCTTTTTCCCAATACTCTGCTTAGCTTTTGGAAAGCATCTTTGTCTATCCCATTACGCCTTCGGATTTCAGTGTTCCAATTTCTGCCTTCTCTTAGCATATGCTTTATTAAAAATGATTGACAGGATATTTTATATTTGTTGTTTATGAATTTGTGTGAGCAAGTGACTTTTGTTGCAGGATATAGTCTGTGATAATTGTCCAAATGATTTTTCATTCTAACTTATTAATAATTTTCATGAATTTTCGTTATGTTATTTGGGTGTGAGATATTAAGAGAATATATATTTTAGTTCTCGAATACGGTCAGTACATTATAGCCGTGTTCTTGCTTGGTGATACTGTGTTGCTTTTTAAGATTCTGTTTTTTTACTATTAAAGGCTCAGAATATTTTTAATGGTATATGACAGGGCCGAAACGTTGTAATAAATATGGCAACAAAGATGAGGACAATAGTCCGAATAATGTAAATAGTGTACATAATACCTTATCTCAGAAATATAGACAGATACTGAAAGGTCGAAACAATAGTCCGAATAAATAAATGGCAGATAAAAGATAAACGTTGACAATATGGTCCAAAGATGAGGATGTCCGAATAATGTAAATAGTGTAATAATACCTCATCTCATAGACAGATACTAAAGGTCAGAAACTGACAAAGATGAGGACAATAGGTCCGAAAATGTTGTAATATCTCAAAATATAGACAGATACTGACAAAGATGAGGACAATAGTCCAAATAATGTAAATAGTGTACATAATACCTCATCTCAGAAATATAGACAGATACTGAAAGGTCGAAACGTTGTAATAAATATGGCGAGAAAGATGAGGACAATAGTCCAAATAATGTAAATAGTGTACATAATACCTCATCTCAGAAATATAGACAGATACTGAAA